CGAAGCAAGGTGAGCTTGCATTTGTTTATTGTGCACAAATTAAAATGACCAGTTTCACACTAATTAGTGGCACTGATTCATGAATAGAGAGACTGTTTTCCATTTATTCAATATCTGTTTATCCTACTAGTGTATAACATTCATTAATGCACTACAGCTACATCACTTGACAACAACATCAGTTCAAATGAACACACATACTTGAGATGGTCTTTGCTTGATGACTCTGTAGACTAGTGCCCCACTGTTTTTTTCAAATAACTTGAAAAATATTTAAGCAAAAAAAAAATCATGAAAGTAAAGCAACATGATGTTTCCAGGACCTAGTGTCATCATTGTCAAATACAAAAATGTAGTGGAAAAATGAACCCCTTATTTGATCCTTTTAATCAACATTATTAAAGACCTCATTGACATTTTACTCTTTTCTTACATTTCTCACATCATTGTATCTGTTTGTAGAACTTCCTGGATGAAATACTTGCTGTGATTCAGAATCCAGTCTCTTAGCATTATAAGCTATGACCGACAAGCTTATCTTAAGCCAAGCATTGAACATGTTTCAATACACCTGTGAAAGTCTTCCTGGTCTAAATGCTTCTAAATATTTTAAGTAGCAATGCATTTGAGGGTTGGTTTTGTGACTTGTTGATGATTGGTATTTTGGAATTATTTTAAACTACAGGGCCTTGTTCAGTCCTTGGAAGGCTCACATCTGGCATCAGATCCAAACATTGTATTAATTTCAAGTTATAGCTTTGTATGACAGTGAGGAGGTACTAAGCTGATAGAGCAGTTTTTGATTGAGCAAAACCAAAACTAAAGTACTCTGACTTATCAATCATAAAGGACACAGACAATCCAGTGAACCAATCAAAACTCGAAGTAGTTACATGTAGCAGACCAAAACCGCTGGAAAACATGGATGAGTGAGTCACGATAGTTTGGTTTTACTTCGGATTGGATGAAAAGATGCTGCCGGTTTTTTTAAGGCAATGATGTGGCGTAGTTATGCAAAACCAATTACTTTTCAACACTCAAATGAAAACTGCTCTATGCAAATATATGTCGACTAAATTATTGTTAAAAAGTGTTATTGATGGTATGATTTTTTTGGTTAGACACAAGTAAGTTTTTCAACCCATTTACAGTGACCCATTTTACAGTTCCATGCGTAGTGATCATCCCTTTAAGCAGAAGCGAGGCTTGAGTTGGCTTTGTTGTGATTCAAACGTGGTACTTTTCAAATGATAACTATCCTATCACCATGCCAACCAGTTTCTGATAGTCAGCCATTAAACTCGCTTTCTTGCAGGAGGCCTGGTTACATTTCATAAAACTGTAAAATGGTCTATTAGTATAGTTTCCTACGATGAAATAGAAGATGGTTAGATAGAGAGCAACTACGTTAGATTTTTATAAGTACAGCTGCAAATAAGTGGCTGGTAGACAGATATGAAAATTTTGCCAATACCTTTATTATTAGACGAACACTATATCACATATTTATTTTTACTATTTATCCTTATTTATACTTGTGCTATTAAGGCTTACCTGAGTGCTATTAATATAACCTTGAGAACTAACCACTCACGAATCACTGCTACTTCGGATTGCTGACGGAGGCTTATTTGAGTGCTATTAAATTAAACTGTGACTATTCACCAGTATTTGCTGTTCTCCATTCGTTGCTTGGGTTTCCTAGACAGCCGTGGTGTGTAGGTGTTGAGCAGGAAATGGAAGACTTGTTTCTTGTTGATGGCTGGCGCAGTAAAGGCTAGCAAACTTATTGACTCGTTTAGTGTAACTGATTTATTTTCAATTCCACCAAGGGTCCAGCAATAAAGATTAACAGCAATCAGCGATATGCGTCAACAGCTGTGTCGTCAAGTGTTGTAAGGCTGATCGCAGAGAAGAGCAGTGTGCCAATACAGGTATAGAACTTACTTGTTTTGAAGGCAATGAATTTGGAAGAGACTACCAACTTAACGCGGAGATACATGCGCTTGTAGAAGAACAGTGACCTGCGTAAGTTCTCGAAGACGTACGTGTATAGCGAGAGGAATGACGCGCGTGTGAAGCGTATTGAAGAGATAAACACGTGTGTAGATTAAGAGAGGCCCGGCACGTGCTTGTTAGGCGTCCCGGAAATGTAAAACAAATAGGTATATAGGGTAGATATGTAGTAGATAAGTAGGGACACGAGTCTCGGGTTTTTGGCCACTGGCTGTGTTTATGTATCAAACATGATTGATTGATTAATTGATTGAAATCAAGACTGATCGAGGGACGATGGATTGATTGAGGGATGAATGGATGGACGGACAGATTGATCTTTTTTTCTTTCATCTTTGTATCAGAGAACGTTTGTGTACGTAGTGACTCTCCTAGGACCTATACTCTCCGCTAAGCTTGTGCTTTTAACCGAAGGATTATGATTTAGCTTCTTACACGTTCTGCACAGGATATTTAGAGAATGTTCATCACAACCTCGCTCCCAGGGTCTCTCATCTCTTCTCTCGCTCCAGGGGGGCGGGAAGATGAGAGACCCTGGAAACGAGATTGTGTTCACCAACGCAAGGAAAGTTTCCTTCAAATAGTAGTTACTCTTGACTTTTTCAAAGTTTAACCTACTAACCACTAAGTACTTACGTCGAAGTGTTATCAAATTGAAGCTCGTCTCACCTGGAATACAACTCATGATCAAGCCCTGACTTCTCTATAATGCCATTCCTGGAACTGATAGAAACAATTTAGTAGAATTGATATGTTCATATTCTTCTTTGTTCAATCTGTTTCCAGATATCGGAAGCCGGCAGCTCGCTATGTATTCCATCCGTGAGATGTGCTGCTCATCCATTATTCATCAAGAGATTCAGCTTTCCAAGGTGAAAGCTTCGAATTCTTGTCAAAAACTGGCCTTCAGTTTCGTTACCGTTCTTTGGGTTGTCACGCAACGCAATATTGTGTTGGGGAAAAGTTTTACGTGACAAACCAAAAAACAGCTGTGAGGAGACTTACTTGATGCTAGATGTTTTGTGAACCATTTTGAAGGAGCTCAAAAAAATCCGTATTATTTTTTTTTTCTCGACAGAATTTCTTTGAGACGCTTCCATCAGTGTTGGAGTCGGTCGCAGGAGCTGACTAAATATTTCCTGAGTTGTAATTTGTCACGATCGTTTTAATGTTGTTGCAACTCTTGTGGCAATTTTTTTATTCAAATGACTTGACATGCCGTCAAACAGCGTGAAGAGTGGAAACTTGCCTTCAACATAATAAAAAGAACCTTTTTGTAAAACTACCTTTCAATTCAAGTCAAAGAACTAATTTACTGGAGAACAAACGATACGAGCTTTCCTGAGTATCATCGAAGACTACAGTTCCATCAGAATCGTTATTTTGGTGTCACGCAGTGTGTTTGTCTACTAAGTAGGGAGCTTAAGCAAGGACCACGGCGACGCCGAGGGCAACGCTTAGTCAAATATGAATTTATATTTTATCAGCAAAATACGCACATGTCTACATCTGTTCAGTACGCCAATGGCTCTAAAACCTGCTCAGGCTAAATATACAATGACAGCGTTCAATTCCAAATGGAAATGGGAAAAATTAGCCGTCGTCGTTCGCGTCTCCCGGACGACGCAGAACTCGGTCATTTCACGTGGTTGTTTTCCAGAGGACTGCAAAGAAATGTACAAAGATTTATAACGCACGTGCACAGCTATTGTTTTGCTCATTAAACCTTTTGTTTGGTGGCGTTCTCGTTGCCGTCGTCGTCGTCGTGGTTTGCTTAAGCTCCCTAGTTAGTCGAGAAGAGCCTTAAGTGACGACCCGACAAGTAGCATTCTAGGCGAAAAGTGTGACAGTTGGAGGATAGACTATTTCACTTCTTCACTGTATTATACTTGGAAGATATTTCTCTTCTTCACTATACTATACTTGTGGCACTATAATGGAGAAAGCAATTAGGTAACGTGAAATAACAGAGTGATATGTTAATAAAGAAAAATCAAATTCTGCTGAATACATTATGTGTTGCTGTTTACAGTAAAAGCTCTGCCCAGGCTAGCCCGATTCTCAGCTGTTTCTCGGTCCCGATAGGAAGAGGAGGGAGTGAGACCGAGCGACCTTGGCCTGTCTGAGAATCAGGCTATCCACAGTTTTAAAGCATTTTGAAGAGAGGGGAGGGAAGGGGAAAAGGGAAGTACTCACAAATCAGCTAGCGCGCGAAACTGAGGAATCTTGGAAAATTTGGCATACTCTTTTTTGCCTACATCTTTATCATGCTGTTCATTTTAGCTGATCCGATTCCATTCGATGTTAAGTTGTTCACTCGATAAACACATCGAATCTGATAACCCTCTTTTCTGGTCAGAAATCAGACGGAGGAGAGGGGAAAAGAGGTTGCTGGAAATCTCTTAGTTTTTCTCAGTGACTAAAATATACAGTAAACAAATTCTTCCAGTCAAAGTTCCAGACAGCAATTCTATCTTTTCAGTTATAATTAAAGAAGAAGGGCTACAAGACACCAAAATGTAAAGCAGCTTTGTGTATCCTTGGTAAGCCTGTAAACTACTGCAATCCTTTGCTGATCAGCCGCGTAATTAAGACATACAAGACTGGCCTTGTATGAAACATTTGATGATTATTCTGGATATCACAAAAACCGAACCAAATAATTGTTTATTATACATTGAACGAAAAAATTGGAAGTCATCATGACTTCCATTTTTTTTGCTTCTTCACTGACGGCAAGCAATACAAAGTGCGCGAACTTGACATGATTACTCGTGACCTTGAGTGTGCTTGACTTGGTTATTGTATAATCTACAGAGATGACGTCACAGGCGCTGATCTCGAAAATTCACTGTACGCTTTCGACCAATCAGAAAAGAGATAGGGAGTTCAATGTATAATATTACACCCGTCGCTCTCCAGAATTTTGAGGCAACGCGCAACGCGCTAAAATTAGACCTGATTGAGTAAGCCAATCAAATGGAAGCATTGGTCGTCCTTTAGGATTTGTGATTGCCAGGCTGAACACCTAAGCCTCGTTATATAGGATCGCTCTGTGTTTAAACGTTCACTTTCGAGTTCCTGATTTCCTTGTTGATTGCAGACGGGCCTTTATTGTGTTGCTACTTTGCTGAATTGCTCCTGAATCTTTCCAAACCGTGAGTAGTTATTTATAATACTGTCCTTGTTGCATTAATTTCAGACAAGCTAGACGGAATTTGCTTGCAGAAGACAGTCAAAATCCTTTTCACGCAAACGAGCATTCCATCGATAACTGTTTCTGTTTTGCAAAATCTCTCGTCCGTTTGTGAAGAAATTTCTGCAGCTAAGTCCTTGTTGCAAAGAAAGGAGATTAACAGACTGAGTGTAGTCATGTGACTAGAAATCGACTCCAGTGGTCTCAAAGAGTTTTTTAATCCTGGTTTTTCTGATTTGAATTCGAGGTTAATTGATTCGTGAAGTAGTCAGAATACAAACTATTAAAAGTCTCTAGTTGATTGAAGTGAGCGTTCTCTTGCCGCTTCAAAGTTCGATTTCAGATGAGTTACATGCAAATTACTGAAACAACATTCCAAAACCTCTGGAACAAGACTGCAACAAACGAGAAGAGTTTGGAAGGCTCAGGGTAGCTTTAAATTTGTAATCAATCCTTTTAATTGTAGTCGGCATTTTGCAAGAAGAGAGAAACTTAAACTAAACATTGAGTATTCTAGAATTCGAAATTCAACTCTGTTGACCAGTCATGCAGTTCAACTATTGTTATGCTTTTTTTTTTTTTACCTTCGCTGAAGACACGCATTGCATACTAATATGAAACAACACATCTACTGAGTAGTTCTGGTTCTTACTTAATCGTCTATGCATGGGAGCTAAAATTGTCAGGGCTTGCCTATTTGGAGCTACAAAGACACTGGTTTCCTACCAACAGCAGCTCCATCTACGTTTGTAAAAATATCATATTGTCAAACTTCGGTGAAGTGTAGATTGTCCGCTGACACTGGCTAACAATGCAAAAACCTTATTGTGTGGAATATAATTTATTTCTAAGCTTTTCGAAAATTTGTTTGAGTGGGTTCAAATATTATTGTTGGTGTAAACGGAGTCTCTTTGGTGATAATTTTAACTCCAGCATTCACACGACATGCCTGGCCAACTTTTAGAGAACATTTAACGAGAAATTAGATGCCGATGCATTGCGAACTAAAACTCCTATAATTTAGGCACCCCAAGACTAATGATGGTTTCAAAATAGACACAACGTCATGTGATTAACAAGAGCTGTGNCTTCGGAATTCAACTCTGTGACCAGTCATGAAGTTCAACTATTGTTATGTTATTTTTCTACCTTCGCTCAAGACATGCATTGCATACTAATATGAAACAACACATCTAATAGTAGTTCTAGTTCTTACTCAATCATCACCGTCTATGCATGGAAGCTAAAATTGTCAGGGCTTGCCTATTTGAACTTACAGGTACACTGGTTTCCTACCAACAGCGGCTCCATCTACCTTTGTAAAAATGCCATATTGTCAAACTTCGGTCAAGTGTAGATCATCCACTGACACTGACTAACAATGCAAAAACCTAATTGTGTGGAATCTCATTTCGACCATTTCATTTCTAAGCTTTTCGAAAATTTGTTTGAGTGGGTTCAAATATCATTGTTGGTGTAAACGGAGACCCCTGTAAAATTTACACTGTCTCTTTGGTGATAATTTTAACTCCTGCATTCACGCGACATGCATGATGAACTTTTAAAGAAAATTTAACAAGAAATTAGATGCCGATGCATTGCGAACTAAAACTCCTATGATTTACGCACCGCAAGACTAATGATGATTTTAAAATAGATTCAACGTCTTGTGATTAGCAAGAGCTGTGTGGGAGTGGTTTAGCTTTCACTTTCGAATTCTTTCTTCTTCCTTCAGTGATTGCAGACGGGTCTTTATTGTGTTGCTACGTTGCTGAATTGCTCCTGAAACTTTCCAAACCGTGAGTATATGTAGTTCATAATACTGTTCTTTGCTGCATGAATTTCAATACAATACAATTCAATACAATACACTTTATTTATCCCCGGTGATGATTAAAGCAATAACTGCTTATGCGGCTATGCATTGAAATAAAGAGAAAAATAACAGACACTGTGTCCTACTTCTATTATAAAAAAATTTACAAATGTTTCTTAAATTGTGTCCTAAAAATCTTATAATCGCTAAATTTTATCCCTGAAAAGTTTCGGAATAACCATTCACCATCGCTCCCTTAACTATTTGGCCCATTTTCCCGATCCATTCCCACCCGTACCTCCCCATACAGTATATATATATTAAAAATATACAAGCTAGACGGAATTTGTTTGCAGAACACGGTCAAAATCCTTTTGACGCAAACGAGCTTGCGCACAAATCCGTAACATACTTCATTTCATATATAATACAGTAGTACTCTTCACTTATAGCGAAAAACCGTTATCAAATTAAACTCTATCGATAACTGTTTCTGTTTTGCGAAACCTCTCGCCCGTTTGTGAAAATTTGTCCGCAGTTGAGTCCATGTTGCAATGAAAGGATNTTTCCAAACCGTGAGTATATGTAGTTCATAATACTGTTCTTTGCTGCATGAATTTCAATACAATACAATTTAATACAATACACTTTATTTATCCACGGTGATGATTAAAGCAATAACTGCTTATGGGGCCATGCATTGAAATAAAGAGAAAAATAACAGATACTGTGACCTACTACTATTATAAAAAATTTACAAATGTTTCTTAAATTGTGTCCTAAAACTCTTATAATCGCTAAATTTTATCAGTGAAAAATTTCGGAATAACCATTCCCCATCCCTCCCTTAACTATTTGGCCCATTTTCCCGATCCATTCCCACCCGTACCTCCCCATACAGTATATATGTATTAAAAATATACAAGCTAGACGTGATTTGCTTGCAGAACACAGTCAGAATCCTTCTGACGCAAACGAGCTTGCGCACAAATCAGTAACATACTTCATATATATAATACAGTAGTACTCTTTACTTATAGCGAAAAACCGTTATCAAATTAAGCTCTATCGATAAATGTTTCTGTTTTGCGAAACCTCTCGCCCGTTTGTGAAAATTTGTCCGCAGTTGAGTCCATGTTGCAATGAAAGGATCAAGATTAACAGGCAGACTGAGTGTAGTCATGTGACTAGAAATCGACTCCAGTGGTCTCACAGGGTTTTTTAATCCTGGTTTTTCTGATT